ATATGGTTCATGGGGTCACGAAGAGTTGGACATGACTTAACGACTAAACAACAACAACAAAAGGCTCCTTGAACGTGGAGGCAACCCGGTCACTCTGACTTGTCATATTTAATGAGCCCAGATACCGCGATTTCTAAACTGCGGCCTGTTGCTGGATGAGCCTCTGAATCCCGTTCTTTCTGCTCCACCCGGCTTCCCACCCACCCGTTACCTAAAATTAGTAACATGCTTCTATTTCGAGATATGGAATGTAAGTCCTATAGACCAAGAAAACTTGCAGAACACCTCCTGTTCAAAAACTCCAGGAAAAAAGTTGGCCTTCCCAATTTTGCTTAATTCCCAATTAAGTTTATCCTTATCCCTAAAAATTGCCTAACCCTACTTTATGATTTACTGTATTGTATGAATCCAGCCAATATGTAATTTATCCAGTAAATGATGGTTCAACAATGGCTTTGCACAGGGAGTGAATCCTGTCTGTGACATACCTACCACTATTTGCTTTGCCTGGCTTTATATTTAATGTTTTGGGTGCCAGCAATTTGCAGAAGCAATAAGATCCTGGGCCAACAGAGCTATTTTTCATGACCATTGATGTTTTGTTCAATTGTGGCTCACAGATGCAAGCAGCAGCTTTATTTTGGCTATGCTGCCATTTCCCCCTTTACCCAATTGCTTGTTAACTTGAGATGGGCAAACCTTGGTTTCAACTTCTGGTTTCTGCAAAACCAAAGTTGTGGTTTGTGTTATACATTAATTCTCAAGTAAACACCTGACTATGGAGGATGAGCTGCTGTATGTGTTGCTGGTAAGATGGCAGTTGAAACATCCTTGTGAACTCTTTCCTAGGTCTTAGACCATTTTACCTGATATTATCCAAGTAGCTGGTTTGGAGTTGTTGGTTTTTGTTTTTGGACTATGTACTTTCTAAAATCCTTTAAAGATACAAGTCGTGGTGCACATGCAAAACATGTGCTCTGTCACTGAGTCATGACTCCAAATACATAATTGTTATAGATTATCCTTCAGCCTGATTCTCAATGTGCTGGCGCTTCAAGTCTCAGAATTCTCAGCAGCATGGACAACAAAGGCTGTTGTATGTTTTGTCATGTGAAGCATATATCCAGGACATCAAATAATTACTGCTATACGGTTTGATGTTTCATTCCACCAGAGTTCCCATATCTTGACAAACAGCAGATGCAGTACAATCATGAGGTTGGTAACAGCACAGCATCTGTCCTTTTCTCCCCCAATCCCACATAATTGGTATATGGCAGGGGCCTCCAACCCCCGAGCCGCAGACTGGTACTGGTCCATGGCCTGTTAGGAACCGGGCCGCACAGCAGGAGGCGAGTGGCGGGCAAGAGAGCGAAGCTTCATCTGTATTTACAGCCGCTCCCCATCGCTCGCATTACTGCCTGAGCTCCGCCTCCTGACAGATCAGCGGCGGCATTAGATTCTCATAGGAGTGTGAACCCTACTGTGAACTGCGCATGCGAGGGATCTAGGTTGCACACTCCTTATGAGAATCTAATGCCTGATGATCTGAGGTGGAGCTGAGGCGGTGATGCTAGCACTAGTTGCAGGAAAACAAGCTCCGGGCTCCCCCTGATTCTGCATTATGGTG